TTCAACTGTCCAAATGTCTTTCCAAATACACAGAAGAAGCAGCATGGCTTCTGCAAGTTACAGTGTACGGTCAGAAGGGGGCGTAATAGAGCACAGCGCACACATTACTGATAATCACAGAAGAAGAAGATAAAGCTTTTTATGGTGATATTTTAAAATGTGCATAAGTGAAGTTAAAGGAAACATGACACAAAAAACACAAACACAGCGATGCACGTCTTCCAGAAGTGAACCAGCTGAGTGTGTGAACGCACCGCGATGCAGTCAGGGCTCATAGGATTTATTCAGTTGTTTATCGATCACCAACACACACACACAGCTGGTTCACCGTCACACTGTGAACATTTATATATTGATGCTTGAACACAGAAATCTTTTGTTTGTTTTGTTTTTATAAGAAGACTTCTTGTATGTTATTGAGTTGATTTGATTTTGTTTTCCTTTATTTATTTGATTTTCAAATATTCTCTTTATTTAACCTGCTGCTGTCGACGTGTTCTGAGAGTCTGTCCGTAAAATATATAATAATAATTATAGCAACAATATTTATTTATATTTATATCATTTCTGTTGTATGTTATGGAAACAGTAAAATGATGATTGTGACACGACGGCTCTGCTGTTTTAGTGTGTGTGTGTGTGTGTGTGTGTGTGTGTGTGTGTGTGTGTGTGCTTTTTTTCATTCATTAAGTCTCTACACATCTGTCAGACCACCACAGCAGCTACAATCTACACATCTGTCAGACCATCACATCAGACACAATTTAGACATCTGTCAGACCACCACAGAGCTATTCACCATGAGACTTTTTTGACGGACTTAAGGGTCTGTGTGGCGCCCAATTGGACCCCTGCTAGATTTCAGTTACGCTACAACCCCTAGATGTGTAAATATGAAGAGAGAAGTAAATCAAACTCAGCGGCATCAGGAGATCAAACGTACTTTATTGTCATGCAGTTTCTTTAGTGTTTGTCTGCTGAACACACTTTCATTTTAAACACTTCATACTGATAGTTTTGCGCTTAGTCATTGCAGATGAAGATATATATCATAAATGTTTAACAGAAGCAGGTTTATAATCATATAGTCGATTTAAAATGAACTTTAAAGCATGTTTACACTTATATAACAGTCATGTGCTTTCATTAACCATCAGTGTCGGAATTACACATCAGATCAATCCATTTTTATTTGTATAACAAGTGTCACTTTATTTAGACACAAATCACACCATGCAAACTGTTCTACTGCAGTGTGTGTGAGTGTCTATGTAGCTGCTCTTCATGTTTTACAGGCATGTTAACAAGTCGCTCTGCTGTCATGCTCTATATGACCACTAGAGGGCACCAAAGCCACTTTCAGGTTTTTCAATTTAATTTGCAGTTCCACTCAGTGCTGTGAATACTACATTACCCATGAGCATCAGAGACTGGTGCTGGAGACAGTGAGCCAAACAGAGTCCCTGGAGGTGGGTGGTTTTAAGCCTCTTATGGTGTTGATATTAGTTTTTATTTTTATGTCTTATGATGAAACATCTCTCGGTGACATCACATGTTCTAAAAGCGACATAAATAATGAATATGATTTTACATTTATAATGTGTTATATTCTGGATGCATTTTGATTTAGAGAGTGTTGAATTACATTTATATTATTACCTCAGAATCAGCTTCATTTATGTTGTTGGGATGTGTATTATTTATATATTATGATGTTTACAGGTGTGTTTTCTTTGTGTGTTTTAGTAAGTGAGATCATCTAACTTTTCAAATATTTGTCTTCTTTGATTTATTTTTTTACCCAGGCATGTTTTATGATGCTTCCTGTAGAAACACCGAAACCCCATGCGTGTCAAATCGGCTGAGAAAGAAGATAAAAATAACTCATCAGAGTGTTTGGGTCACTGCAGGAAGCAGCAGGGCTCATGGGAAACATATTTTCCCAGCAGAGATTTCTTGACTGTTTCCTCAGGGACCATCGTCATTCCCACCAAAACTGTGTGAGTGTCATAAGTGTCCTGTATTAATCCAGATGATGTAGTGATGTGCCTTTAGTTATAGCCGTGTAATAATCCAGATGTTGCAGTTATGTGCCCTTAGTTATAGCTGTGTAATAATCCAGATGTTGGAGTTATGTGGCAGTAGTTATAGCTGTGTAATAATCCAGATGTTGGAGTCATGTGTTAGCTGTGTAATAATCCCAATGTTGGAGTTTTGTGTCTGCAGTTATAGCTGTGTAATAATCCAGATGTTGCAGTTATGTGGCAGTAGTTATAGCTGTGTAATAATCCAGATGTTGGAGTTATGTGGCAGTAGTTTTAGCCGTGTAATAATCCAGATGTTGGAGTTATGTGGCAGTAGTTATAGCCGTGTAATAATCCAGATGTTGCAGTTATGTGCCCTTAGTTATAGCTGTGTAATAATCCAGATGTTGGAGTTATGCGGCAGTAGTTATAGCTGTGTTATAATCCAGATGTTGGCGTTATGCGCTAGCTATGTAATAATCCTGATGTTGGATTTATGTGTCTGCAGTTATAGCTGTGTCATAATCCAGATGTTGCAGTTATGTGGCAGTAGTTATAGCTGTGTAATAATCCAGATGTTGGAGTTATGTGGCAGTAGTTATAGCTGTGTAATAATCCAGATGTTGGAGTTATGTGGCAGTAGTTATAGCTGTGTAATAATCCAGATGTTTCAGTTATGTGTTAGCTGTGTACTAATCCAGATGTTGGAGATATATGCCCTTAGTTTTAGCTGAATAATAATCCAGATGTCTCATCGCTCTCTCTGATTGGTGTATCCTCAGCTGGACAGCAGCACGATGATGTAGATGAGCAGCAGACAGATGAGGATGAGTGTGAAGTTGACGAACAGCTCCTGAAGGTTCCTCTTGGCTTGAGGGGTCACCTCGATCTGAGAAGCCCGCCGTATAGCCGACTTGGTCATGTGCTGCACGCGCTCCATGGAGGCAGGGGGGCGGGGCTAGATCCTGATATCCTGGGATTAACAGAGGAGAGAGTTCAGGCAGGCTGACGAGGCCTGAGAGGACGGAGACGGGGAGGACTGGAGCCAAACTGGAGCCAAACTGGAGCCAAACTGGAGCTGCTGGTGTGCGGAGGGTGTGAGGTCCTCACGGGTTCACTGACACAGATTCTTTTTCGCTTCTCTCTTTACTGAAAAAGAGAAACAGAAGGTCATTATTCACTCCTTGGTTTACTTTTTTTTTTGTTTTAAATCATTGATCCTGATGATGAATGAAATGAAGATGGCTCATTGAAAAATTGATCTCTGTTCTTTCGAAAACTCAAGTATCAACATTCAGAGTGAAAGTGTTAAACTCAGAAAAGTCTAACACTTAACATGAGTAATAGAACATCCTCTATCAGCATGCTAACATTAACGTAGCAGCACAGCGGGTTCACGTTAAGGTTTGTTTTATTTGAATAACTGAGTTTATAAAAGATGTTTGTTTTTTTTAAGTTTCATCATTTTGAAAAAAGTCACTTTAAACCCGCTCTGCTGTTTCAAACACCCTTTATACTTCTACTGTAGTGCCCCCTGCTGGACATACTGTTCATTACACCCTCAGGCTTTATTGTGAAACATAAACTTTTATGGTCGACTTCAGCATTTGTCTTGTACTAAGTTCGGAAAAAACACAGTTGGAGCTGGCATCCAATCACAGCAGAGCGTTAAGGTTACGAGTTAGCCAATCACAGCAGAGCATGGTTGGTTAAAGTGAAGCAGGGCGTCCATGTTGGATTTGTGTGTATTGTCAGGGAGATGTTTCTGGAATCTTTCAGCTCATCTATTTTTAACGCTCGCTCTCTGCTCTCTGCCTCCGCTCTCTGCTCTGCTCTCCATCATCACCTGACATGTTCACACCTTCACACACACACTCTCTGTCAGCCAGAGGATTAACTACAGGAGACTGCTGGATGACCTCTGACCGCCAACTGACAGGAAGTGTCCTCTGATTTACAGACAGTCTGCAGGCGGCTCTGAGTGTGTGCAGTAACCAGTCTTTGCGATCAAAGGAAGTCCACCAGAGTCAGTGTTGAGCAGGTTTGATAGACAGACATCTCAGCCAATCACCATCAGTCTGTCAATGCTACTTTATTCCTTCTCTAATATTGGATGTTATGACTCAATAATTCCTTGGAGTGTTTGAAGGATCACTTTTATTTTTATCACACAGCAGCCGAGCAGCGCCGACAGCAGATTGTCCTTTAGAAACACAATCAGCTGTTGTTCATGGGGGGGGGGGGGGGGGGTAGATATCAGAGTCATGTTAAGAGGAAACACTGAATATTTCCATCACAGCAGCTGACTCTGTGTGTACGTGTGTGTGTTTCTTGGTATTGTTTATGATGAACAGCTGATCCTCTGATCAGCTGAAGTTGATTGTGTGGCCCGTTCAACATCGTCTCCATGGTTACAGGTCACTGTGACGTGAAATAAAGTGTGACGGACGGTTTTTGGACACTGACCACGTCTCTCCAAGTGACTAAGTGTGCGTGTGCGTGCGTGTGATGAAGGTGAGGATCATCTTTATATAAACTTGATGTGGCGCCGGTGACCTAGTGGTTAGTGTTCTCCCTGTGTACAGAGGCTACAGTCATTCAAGTGAGCGGTCCGGGTTAGAATCCGACCTTTGGCACCTTTGCCACGGAATTCCTCTCTCTCTCACCCTGATCTCGGACTCTATTCTCTGTCCTATCAAAATAAAAGCATAAGAATAAACCTTAAATAAAATAATAAACTTTGAAACGACTTAAAATGAACAATCTGCGTCCAGGACGATTTCTATATAAATGCATCTATAAATACTCATATTTAAACTTCACAATGTCATCAATATTTGTTATTATTTATCTTAATAATATCAAAAATCTATCAATAATAATAATCATTTTTATCTCTAAACAATACATCAGGAGCTTCAGAAAAGATGTGGAAAACAAATGTACACACACACACACACACACACACACACACACACACACACACACACACACACAAAACACACACACACACAAAACACACACACACAAACACAGTTTTATGAGGCCATACTTAAAGTCTTCTTTAGAATCAAAGACGCTTAAAATCAGTGACGTCTCACTGACAGAAATCCCGCAGCTTTCAAACTTTTTGTAATGCTTAGTGTAAGAAGTTAAACTAAAGTTAAACTTAAACATAAGTAAATAAAAACATTTATTAATTATTATTATTATTAATATTAATAGGGTGTGATGAATCTATCTCTCTGAACGATGTTCTTACCTTCAGATGTCGACTGAGCTGCTCCGAGTTTTAGAAGAAATGTGAGGGCGAGCTCTGCAGGGCTGACAGAGAGGGAGAGAGATGGAGAGAGAGGGAGAGAGAGGGGAGAGAAGGAGAGCGAGAGAATAGAAAGAGGGGAGGGGAGAAAGGAAAGAGAGGGGAGAGAGAAAGAGAGAGAGAGGGGGGGAGACAACAGAGAGAGAGAGAGAGAGAGAGAGGGTTGAGACAGAGGAGAAAGAGAGGAGAGAGAGAGGGGGAGACAACAGAGAGAGAGAGAGAGAGAGAGGTTGAGAAAGAGAGGAGAGAGAGGGGGGAGAGACAACAGAGGGGGGACATCTCAGGGCAAAGCCGTTTCTTTCCTCGTTGAGCTTCAAGTTCTTTATAAGTTTGAACTTTACAAACCTATCTCAACTAGCATAGTAATAAATAAGCCTCTCCAATGTAGACATTTAGCCTGTAGTCGTCATGGTAACAGCTGAATACCCATCACATACTCCACATGCTAACAGTTAGCTGTATACGCTAGTAGAGTCAGAGTTGATCTAAATCCTGTAACACTACTGATCCTCGTCGGTCGGTCTTTAACTTCAACAACACCTCTGATCTGATTGTCAACAGATGTCGTTGTCTGTGATGAAGAGCCATGACAGCACTGTGTGTGTGTTTTTACAACAGTGTAGTTGCACTCAGAGACCTTCAGAGGGCGGTAAAGAGCACCAAGCTGAATTCCCCCAGAATGTTTAAATTATTCT